GTACCACAGATGGAAGTAATGATTAGCTCTCTTGATGAATATACAAGATAGTATAATACAGAGGCCCTGCCCTAGAGGAAGTGACCTGAATATTTCCAGACAAGACTAGCTTAAAGAAAGACAGACTTGGACGAATTTGATGGCTTTTAGTAAACCTAGTAAAATCGTACAAGAAATATAGATGTCCCTGTTCTCTTTTTCACATTCCAGAAAGAAGAACTAGTCACTTCTGTACCCATGTACTCTAAACAACACTCTATACCCATAGCTGATTAGAAAAAAAAAAACATGAAAATTTTCTAGCTAGTAATAAGTACATTCTCCTTTAATAGAAAAGATTTTAAGCATGCCAAGCATGACCAGAAATCTTTATTGAATGATTTGTTATTGCACAAGACAATATTAAAGAGGAGGGAAGTTTACATTGGTTTTTTATCTTACTATGCTACAAAGATCTATTTATCATTTTATTAATCTAGTGGCTAGTACAAACATAATGACATACACATATTAAATATATGTTAAATTAAATTAATTCCTATCACCACACTTCTAATCTGTTATATATTATTCCCTCTTATTCCCCAACATATAATCAGTTACTAAATTATAGTTAGTCTACCTCTGCCAAGTTTTTCCTCTTGTTCATAGTTCTACCCCTTCCATTCTAGTTCAAAAATTTCACTACTATTTCCACTAACACAATAACCTCATAGCTGGTATTCCCCACCTTTAGTATCTCCCCTACTACAATCCATCCTCCACACTATCATTAGCTATTTTTCAATGCACAAATTTGATAATGTCACTCATGTCCTCAAAAACCTTCAATAGCTCCCAATTATAAGACATAACTGAACACTTAACTGGCTTTAAAAGCTCCATAAATCTGGGTGTCGTCTTTACATTTCTTACCTCATTTTGCACCATATCCCCACTTCTACACCACAAACTTCTATTCTCACAATATCACATATATGAACAATATTACACATATTTCCTTCTTCCAAGAACTCCTCTATGCTTTTGCTTATATTGTTTCCCATTTACCTGAAATATGTTCCTTCAATCTCTGTCAAAATATTACTACTCCATAATGCCCTCAAATTCCATTTCCTTCACAAGGCTTTAACAGACTCATTCTAAACCACTCCCATCATTCTAACCCAATTATTGATGGTTTTGTGTCTTTTATGATAATAATTTATACATAATCCTATCTAGCTCACTTGAATTTAAACCTGTAGGAGTAGGGTGGGATTTTGTGATGTAATGATATATTGTAATGTAATTTTAATATGGCATTTCACATTATAACTCTGTGTACTGCATTGCCTATATTCAATAAATACAATGAATTAAATGATTCCTACTATAACAAGAGTTCCAAATAGAAATTTAAAAAAAGAATCAATGAAACACTTTATTGCCCAGTTATAATAATGAAACTGTTTATCCATATTCCTCAAAGTTTTCCTAAATATAACCTCATATTTTATTCCTGAATCACCCTATTTGTGATTACAAATGTGCAGAATAAGAGCTCCAATATATTTAGATGAAGTGGTCATATTTATGAAGAAGGTCTTTAAAAAAAAAAAAAAAAAACTTTCCATTAGTGAGGGATCCTGGGGATATCTAAATCCCAAGGTTTTTCATATAAGTGAAAAAAAATTCATAGTTTAGTGGGGAAAGACAAGGACCTATTGTTAATGGAGACCTACCATGTGCAAAACACCTTGCTATGTATATAAAAACTTACACTGCATTCCCTTTACTTAAAACTTTTTAAGATATTTTTCTCCCATTTACAGATAAAGAAACTGAAGTTCAGAGAGCTATACACTGGATCCCACAGCTAGTATGGGAGTAAGTTTGGAACAGATTTATCTGCCTCCAAAGAACATGTTCTCTGCTCTATTACTACCAGGTCACATAAAATTAAACTTTCAGTTTTTTTCCCCAATCTGCAAAAGAGTTGCTATCCTAGTTAAATTTTTAAAGTTTGTAACTTTAATCTCAAATTGTATTATCAGTGACATAATATTACTCTTAAAACTAACTTCCTTAAACAAAAGCAGTATTGTTAAAGAAATAATATAAAAGCAGCAGTTTAATATTATATGATATGCAATTTTAAAACCCTACAATCAACTACTCTTTAAAGAAGCAGGAACTCCCTCACCAAAAAATTTAAAAAAAAATAAGTACATGAATTCTAATGCTCATGAAACTAATTTGTATAAAGTTCACATTACTCAAATAGTCTGTATTTCATACACAGCCCACTAATGACATATACTCACCCCATCTCAAGTAATACCTCTTCAGTGATCCTGAAAGTATCCAGGCAAAAGCTAAAACTAGCTTCCTGAGTTTGGGGGGTGGGGGAGGAATAACCTTTTAAGTTCCTATTCCCAGTAGACCTAATTGAGATAGTACCTTAGCTCTGAAAACCAGAGCTTCTCACTTAACCTATATCCCCTCTTCCAAGAACTCTCTTCCCAGAAACCATGAAGCCCATATTTCCCTTTCTCAAACCCATTGCCATCTTTCACTGGAACCAAACTCCTTCTTATTTAAAACCTTGACACATTTTACCAAAGGATAAATTTTCAAACAGTGGTTAGGCTTTTCATCATTATGCCTGCTTCTTCTATTATGCCCTGATCTAAAAATGTAACTATTCATAATAAGTTTTTCTTGTGCAAAAACATGTTAAGAGTCTCAAAATGCAAATATACAAACTTCTGAATGGCAAGTCAATGGTTAACAATTGCCCATAAAAGTAAGATAGGTAAAAGATAACACTGAAAGAGATACCAAAATATATTGTAGTGTCTATAATCTTTAATCTTACCAGGATTCAACCCAGAGAAAGTAACAGAAATTATTTCCTTTGACATTAAATTTAACCTATTCTTACCTACATTTTCTTTCAGAATTCTAACACATTTAAAATATGCATATTATATAATAAAAGCACCTTAGTCCTAAAAACTAATAGTTATAGGTTGTAAAGTTCATACTTGAAGCAAGCATTTCTAAAGCCAACATCAACATGAAATTAAACATATATTCTAGGAAGTAAAATTATTTCCTTCTTATCAACAGAATATCATTAAAAGCAAAAAGTCTTCTAAGTACTAAGTGTATCTGTTCAAATGTAGCATTAAATTTTCACCTATTTTAATTAAGTCACCAACAAGGCTAAATTTAACCAATCTTAATTGTTTTAGACAAAGAAGGCAGAAATACTACCTTCACCACATTACCTTCACCTTTCGTTTTACTTCATAGGGATTAACAATTTCCACTTGAGTATTTTTCCAAATTGCTGAGGTAGAGAGACCCATTGTTAAATCTCTACAATACCTAAAACATACTGCAAACAATAAAAAAAACCATATGTGGTAATTACAATTTAAAACATACTACATTCAAAATTAGCTAAAATAATAAATAGTATACATGCAAATGGCTCCCCACCTCCCATTCCATCCTTATATTATAGCATTTAACTTGTTATCAACAAAATGTCTGTGACTATATCAATTGATTACACACATGAAATAAAACAAATAGTTTTATGTAGTCTTGAATAGTCTAGAAATTAAGCCCCTCTTTGTTTAGTATATACTAGTCATAAGAGATGAAGAATGTTAAACCATATGTTGGTATACCCTAGTTCACTAGTAAAATATTTCCTAAAAAATATAAAGGGTTCAACTTCAGGGTACTTCTGATTTTATTTCCACCATATTTCTTGTTGCATGTTATTCTAATATGTAATCTAACCCATTTAGTTGCAAAAAAAAATTAAGGAAAGCAAAACAGAAGAAGATAACCATAAGAAAATCATACAACTGTCCAAAGTGTTTTTTTAAAGATGGAGCAAGTACTTGAAGACAAAGTTGCACCCTTGAGATGTACAGGAGTGCAAATCTTACCTTAAAATAGCCTACTAGTAATCAATTCGGCATTTGTCAACTATTTTTAGGAGGTGTATAGTGGCTTCTTCCAGAGTAATATGCTGTTGATTATTTACCAGAAAAGGATCTGATGTTCTGTTGTGATAGACATGTTTTTTATATTTAAATGTTGCCCGCTTTTTATAACAACAAAGTACTTGTGCACATCTAATTTCTCGCGGCACTGCTGACCAAAGCCCAAACAGAACAGTTTCAGAAGAGAAGCGGGAAGAGAGGCGAACCAAAATTTTGGTTGAACCTCCTTAAGTCTTACTAAAGATTCGTCTTATAAAGGCTGGCTAGGGCTCACCTTAAGTCTTCCTTTACAGACCAACGGGGCGGGGACTGAGAATGGGGAAAAGCAAAGGAGAGAAGGAAAAGGGCAGCAAAATAAGGGGACGTGAGAAGAGGCAGCAGAACTTCACCTGAATGTAGATAAATCCGGCCAACTGTTCATCTCTACTTAAGGTGAAAAAAATAATAATAAGCCACAAAAAAAAGAGAAAGCTAAGTTATGAAGAAACTCTCGTCCCTCTGCAGAAATGTCCCCAGGGTAACTTCTTCACCTTGGTGTTTTTGTTGTACTGAGTTCTAAAGCTCCCAGGGTTTAAAAGCGAGTCGTATGGAGTCCGCAGAGGTCCCCTGAAGTCTTCCCAGCAAGCAAACCCAGCTCATAGGAGAAAGAGGGACGCGCCAAGTCAGGCACGGCACCCCAGGCGTCCCCCAGTCTTACTTCGGGTTGGAAAGTGGAGAAACTTAGTCACAACAACTCCAGTATAGCCAGTGAGACAGGCGTTTCCGAGGCCCAGCTGGGGCTGCACTCTACACAGGAGCCCGCCGCCTCATCCCCACCCGCTCCCCAGGGAAGGCACAACTGGGACAACGCGTGCTCCACTGCCCTGCAGCCTCAAAGGGGCTTGCCTGGGAGCCCCGCTCTCTTCCCCCACGCCCTTTCTCTCTTGGCCCCCAACTAGGGTCCTGTAGCAACAAGGGTAGTTGGCTCCAGGCTATCTTGGCCACCACACTAACCTCGCCACTGTTCGTGCCGCCGCCGCCGCCACCGAACACCTCCATGTCTTGGTCCCAGGGCTCTTCCTGAGGAGGGATTGGTAGCATCGCGCTTTCAGGAGCACTCGAACAGGAGCTGCGGACCGCCAGCGCGGCAGTGCATCCTGTCTATTGAACTGGCCCGCTGCTGCCGCCGCCGTCTCCGCTGTGACCCCCAGCCCCGCCTTCAGCGACCGCTGCCCTCGCCACGGGGTCCCTCAGAGGCTGGGACCCGGGGGTCTCCGCCGCACACTGCTGCTCCCATAGAGAAGACAACTCTATGTTGCCTCTCCAAGAGCTGCTGCTTGGCTCTTGCGCACCACTGCCGCCGGCGCGACGGCCGCTTGACGGTGACCACCCCCTCCAAACCCCCAGCTAACCCCCTTCCTCAGGCCCCCTCCCCGCTCCCTGCTCTGTCAATATGGCGGCAGCGGCGGCGTTACCTGTGCGGCGCCTGGAACCCCCCACGGCGGCAGCACTGCGGCGTCACCAGAACGTCAATGGAGATTCCCCAGACTGGGGTGAGGGGGGTGGGAAAGAGGGGCGGGGTGAGTGCGGGGGACCGCGTGGTGGGGGTGGGAAAGAGGGGAGGGGGGCGTGCTAGGCGGGGGAGGCGGGTGAAGAGTAGTAAAAGCCACTGCTAGCGCCTCGGTAAACCTGCCCACTTCACGGAGCATGCGCGGCGCTCTTTACACATGCTCAGCAGGCCCTCTTAGAACTACAGAGCAGCCTTGTTGGCGGGAGGATTCCCAAAAAAGAATGTGGGAACTGGGAGACCCTCCCGAGCGCTTGATTAGTCAATGCTAGAGGAGGATTCCGGGAGTACCTACTTGCGGGGTTCACGAAAAACAGGTGTCCTATATGCAGAACCACGCCCATTTCAGTACTTAGTGACAAATACTAGGGCGGGGATTTTACTCCAGTAGACGCTAGCCTTCCAGAAGCTAGAGGCAGGAGAGAATGGATTTAAAAGAAATTAGAATACCTGTGATCTTTACTCACACCTCCTTATCCCTCTTCAAGATCTTCCGGATACATGCCTTCACGTTACTGATAACAGATTGTTTCCAATATGTGTGTGTGTGTGTGTGCGCGCGCGCGCACACACGCACACACTATTTATTGAACTCTCCTTGTGGCGATGAAGACAGGGTGTATGATGCTAACCCTCCCTCGACCCGCTCTGAGAATAATGGATCTTTAGTGACAGTAATTGTAATTCTTCTATCTTCTCCAAAACAAGCTTTACTGCTTTGCTCCTGTGAGCCTCACACTGTAGTCCTCAGTAGTGATATTACGGAGATAAAGTATGGTCTTCTACATAGGTAATGGATGATCCAAACCACTCATCAAAACATTTCAGACTTCAAAACAAAAAACAGTTATTCCAAACATTTGACACTTAAAAGAGCAACTGCAACAGCTCCTAAGCTGGCTCAGTACCTTGGAGAGGTTTCTAACATTCTGCATAAAACTCACACCACTCCTTCCCCCTTCTACACTTACAGTTGTGTTGTGCTTGCAGAGAACACTGAACTATGCCCTCCATTTATTTCACCATCTGGCCTCAAGAGCTAAGAAAGCAAAACAAGCTACAGAGGTTGGCAGTTAATTACGAACAAGAATCACCAACAGTGCTCTCCCATTTATTCTGCTGAAAATCCAGAGAAAAAGGCGAGCTTTAGAGATAGGTTTTGTAAAAGTGAAAGATTTTAAAGTAATGGGAATATGAGGCTATCACTTTTGAAAATGGGTTTGTGAGTGCATACCGGCAAATAAATTTGTTTGGCAGAAGGCTAATCCTTTTGAGCTGAGTCTATTCCCCTATTGCTTACTCAAAGGCTTAGTTCTGGAACCACAACCAACCCCCCCCCCCCACACACACACACACACAAACACACACACATCATCTTCCACATCATCTATTTTCTTCTTTCTATTGAATCATTCCCACCAGCAGAAAGCATGCTGTTTTGACTTTACCTTGGTTGACCACTTGCTAGCATCTAATACACTTCAAGACTCCCTTTTCTTTAAATATTTTCTTCACCTGGCCTCCAAAACAAACGGTTCTTGTTTTGCTTCTACATCATCGGAGATTTCTTCTCAGTCTTCTTTGCTGGGTCATTCCTCATCTTTCCATCTTTTACTGTTGTAATTTCAGACTCAATCCATGACCTCTGTCTTCCCCAGAATTCCAGGTATCCCCACATCTCATCTAGACCCATGGATTACTCATTCTTAAAGTCATGACTCCTGCCTGCAACTGTCTATTCAACATCTGTACTTGTATATCTCAAATTTAACCTATTCAAACCTGACTCTTGATTTGACCCCAATCTGTTCCTCCCCTAGTTTTAACCAAGCCAATTAATGATCTGCCCCCATTAACCTAGTTTACTGATTATTTCTCACTTCAGAGTATCCTTCCATGATCATCCTACCTAAAACACTACCCCCATAAATCTTTCCCCCTCACTCTGATTTTTCATCTCACCAATGAACGTGTGATGTATTTGTTTAATTATTTTCCTCAGAACATATCTGGAACATAATGGTTCTTGGTAAGTGTTTTCTTTTTTTTTTTTAATTTTTTATTGTGGGTTGTTCAAAACATTACAAATTTCTTGACATATCATATTCCACACTTTGATTCAAGTGGGTTATGAACTCCCACCTTCACCCCATACACAAATTGCAGAATCACATCAGTTACACATCCATTGATTTACAAATTGCCATACTAGTGTCTGTTGTGCTCCACTGCCTTTCCCATCCTCCACCCTCCCCCCTCCCCACCTCTCCCCTCCCCTCCCCTCCTCTCTCTCTACCTCCTCCACTGTATAACCATGAGGGTCTCCTTCCATTACCATGCAATTTTCCTTCTCTCTCCCTTTCCCTCCCACCTCTCATCCCTGTTAAATGTTAATCTTCTTCTCCTGCTCTTCGTCCCTACACTGTTCTTAGTTACTCTCCTTATATCAAAGAAGACATTTGGCATTTGTTTTTTAGGGATTGGCTAGCTTCACTTAGCATAATCTGCTCTAATGCCATCCATTTCCCTGTAAATTCTATGATTTTGTCATTTTTAAATGCAGAGTAATACTCCATTGTGTATAAATGCCACATTTTTTTTATCCATTCGTCTATTGAAGGGCATCTAGGTTGGTTCCACCGTCTTGCTATTGTGAACTGTGCTGCTATGAACATCGATGTAGCAGTGTCCCTGTAGCATGCTCTTTTTAGGTCTTTAGGGAATAGACCAAGAAGGGGAATAGCTGGGTCAAATGGTGGCTCCATTCCCAGCTTTCCAAGAAATCTCCATACTGCTTTCCAAATTGGCTGCACCAATCTGCAGTCCCACCAGCAATGTACAAGTGTACCCTTTTCCCCACATCCTCGCCAGCACTTGTTGTTGTTTGACTTCCTAATGGCTGCCAATCTTACTGGAGTGAGATGGTATCTTAGGGTGGTTTTGATTTGCATTTCTCTGACAGCTAGAGATGTTGAGCATTTTTTCATGTACTTGTTGATTGACTGTATGTCCTCCTCTGAGAAGTGTCTGTTCAGGTCCTTGGCCCATTTGTTGATTGGGTTGTTTGTTCTCTTATTGTCTAATTTTTTGAGCTCTTTGTATACTCTGGATATTAGGGCTCTATCTGAGGTGTGAGGAGTAAAGATTTGTTCCCAGGATGTAGGCTCTCTATTTACCTCTCTTATTGTATCTTTTGCTGAGAAAAAACTTTTTAGTTTGAGTAAGTCCCATTTGTTGATTCTAGTTATTAACTTTTGTGCTATGGGTGTCCTATTGAGGAATTTGGAGCCCGACCCCACAGTATGTAGATCGTAGCCAACTTTTTCTTCTATCAGACGGCGTGTCTCTGATTTGATATCAAGCTCCTTGATCCATTTTGAATTAACTTTTGTGCATGGCGAGAGAAAGGGATTCAGTTTCATTTTGTTGCATATGGATTTCCAGTTTTCCCAGCACCATTTGTTGAAGATGCTATCCTTCCTCCATTGCATGCTTTTAGACCCTTTATCAAATATAAGATAGTTGTAGTTTTGTGGATTGGTTTCTGTGTCCTCTATTCTGTACCATTGGTCCACCCGCCTGTTTTGGTACCAGTACCATGCTGTTTTTGTTACTATTGCTCTGTAATATAGTTTGAAGTCTGGTATCGCTATACCGCCTGATTCACACTTCCTGCTTAGCATTGTTTTTGCTATTCTGGGTCTTTTATTTTTCCATATGAATTTCATGATTGCTTTCTCTATTTCTACAAGAAATGCCGTTGGGATTTTGATTGGCATTGCATTAAACCTATAGAGAACTTTTGGTAATATCGCCATTTTGATGATGTTAGTTCTGCCTATCCATGAACAGGGTATATTTTTCCATCTTCTAAGATCTTCTATTTCTCTCTTTAGGGTTCTGTAGTTTTCATTGTATAAGTCTTTCACCTCTTTTGTTAGGTTGATTCCCAAGTATTTTATTTTTTTTGAAGATATT